TTGCTGTTCCTGCAGCTTTCGGATGGCATCATTGTGGCACTGCAGGAGGCCCAGGATGGACATGTTGTCTGAGGAATGGGAGGAGGAGTTGAAATGGTTCGCAACTGGGAGGTGCAGTTGTTTACTGCAAACCGAGCGTAGGTGTTCTGCAAAGCGGTCCCCAAGCCTCCGCCTGGTTTCCCCGATGTAGAGGAGGCCACAACGGGAACAGCGGATACAGTATACCACATTGGCAGATGTGCAGGTGAACATCTGTTTGATGTGGAAGGTCTTCTTGGGGCCTGGGATGGGGTTGAGGGGGGAAGTGTCGGGCCAGGTGTAGCACTTGCTTCGGTTGCAGGGAAAAGTGCCAGGGGTGGTGGGGCTGGAGGGGAGTGTGCAGCGGACAAGGGAGTCACGGAGAGAGTGTTCCCTCCGGAAAGCAGATAAGGGTGGGGAGGGAAAAATGTCTTTGGTGGTGGGGTCGGATTGCAGATGGCGGAAGTGTCGGAGTTGTGGTAATGGGACATTAGTTGAGAGGTTTGATTCTGAGATTATGCCTTGAACTGTTGCTTCAATTATCTGTGATCAAGCTCCACTAATTTTGGCACAATTTCATGTAAGAATTTTCTGAGGGCAGCCTAAATTTCTCCCTGCGAGGATAGGATGCCAACTTAAATGGAGAAAAATAGAAACTAATCTGACACAATGTGCCAGAGTTGTCTTTTTTATTTTTGTGAAAACTGAAAGAACTGCGGATGCTGTGAATCAGGAACAAAAACAAAGTTGCTGGAAAAGCTCAACAGGTCTGGCAGCATCTGTGAAGGAAAAAACAAAGTTAACATTTTGGGCCAGGTAACTGTTCTGAGGAAGGGTCACTGGACCCGAAACATTGACTCTGATTTTTCCTTCACTGATGCTGCCAGACCTGTTGAGCTTTTCTAGCAACTTTGTGTTTTTTTTTTATTTTTATGTCTTTTAAAAACTATGGACTGGCAGAAGAAAGATATGTTACTAAAGACAGGGATTACCAGGATAGCTGCATAATTTCACAGCATGGAATTTGGTACCTAATTGTGAACTCTGTTTTTTGTGGCTATGGATTCTTGCATTGTGCAGATGATCAAGATCCATGGAGTTATTTACAAGTGATGAGGTTAGAAACAGGAAAGGAGAGGTCACCCTATTGGGAGTTTTCTATAGGCCTCTGAAAAGTTCCAGAGATGTAGAGGAAAGGATTGCAAAGATAATTCTGGACAGGAGCGAAAGTAATAGGGTAGTTGTTATGGGGGACTTTAACTTTCCAAATATTGACTGGAAACACTATAGTTCGAGTACTTGAGATGAGTCAGTTTTTGTCCAATGTGTGCAGGAGGGTTTCCTGACACAGTATGTAGATAGGCCAACAAGAGGCGAGGCCACATTGGATTTGATACTGGGTAATGAACCAGGCCAGGTGTTAGATTTGGAGGTAGGTGAGCACTTTGGTGATAGTGACCACAATTCGGTTACGTTTACTTTAGCGATGGAAAGGGATAGGTATATACCGCAGGGCAAGAGTTATAGCTGGGGGAAAGGCAATTATGAGGTGATTAGGCAAGATTTAGGATGCATAGGATGGAGAAGGAAACTGCAGGGGCTGGGCACAATTGAAATGTGGAGCTTGTTCAAGAAACAGCTACTGCGTGTTCTTGATAAGTATGTACCTGTCAGGCAGGGAGGAAGTGGTCGAGCGAGGGAACCATGGTTTACTAAAGAAGTTGAATCTCTTGTCAAGAGGAAGAAGGAGGCTTATGTAAAGATGAGGCATGAAGGCTCAGTTAGGGCCCTTGAGAGTTACAAGTTAGCCAGGAAGGACCTAAAGAGAGAGCTAAGAAGAGCCAGGAGTGGACATGAGAAGTCTTTAGCAGGTAGGATCAAGGAAAACCCTAAAGCTTTCTATAGGTATGTCAGGAATAAAAGAATGACTAGAGTAAGATTAGGGCCAGTCAAGGACAGTAGTGGGAAGTTGTGCATGGAGTCCGAAGAGATAGGAGAAGCGCTAAATGAATATTTTTTCGTCAGTATTCACACAGGAAAAGGACAATGTTGTCGAGGAGAATACTGAGATACAGGCTATTAGACTAGACGGGATTGAGGTTCATAAAGAGGAGGTGTTAGCAATTCTGGAAAGTGTGAAAATAGATAAGTCCCCTGGGCCGGATGGGATGTTGCCTGGTATGGAGGCAAGGTCTTATGAGGAAAGGCTGAGGGACTTGAGGCTGTTTTCGTTAGAGAGAAGAAGGTTAAGAGGTGACTTAATAGAGACATACAAGATGATCAGAGGATTAGATAGGGTGGATAGTGAGAGCCTTTTTCCTCGGATGGTGATGGCTAGCACGAGGGGACATAGCTTTAAATTGAGGGGCGATAGATATAGGACAGATGTCAGAGGTAGGTTCTTTACTCAGAGAGTAGTAAGGGCGTGGAATGCCCTGCCTGCAAAAGTAGTAGACTCACCCACTTTAAGGGCATTTAAATGGTCATTGGATAAACATATGGATGATAATAGAATAGTGTAGGTTAGATGGGCTTCAGATTGGTTTCACAGGTCGGCGCAACATCGAAGGCCGAAGGCCTGTACTGCGCTGTAATGTTCTATGTTCTATGTTCTATGAAACTCATTGTTTCTCAGCTAACTGAGCAGGTTGGAACTGGAAACAGGTTACAGAGACACAGAGAGAGAGAGAGAGGGGAAGACACACAAGAGTATACTGTTGTTCCCCTCACTTGAGGATGCCTGTTTTCTTCAATAAAAATCACAGATTAAACTTGAAGAAAATCAATTACCTTTCTTGCAACAGTTGCTATGACCTTAGAATTAATAAATCAGAGGCATTTTCCAAGTGAATCAGTCATTCTGTACAAGCCAGTGGAAACTTCCAGAGAAAGCCAGCTGAACATTAAGGATCCAGGCCACTGAAGAGAGACCATCTCAACGTCGGAATCGGGAAACACAGGCCACTGTACTGCTTTCAAGTTTCTCTCTCCCTCCACCAATAATCTGTTTTGCCTACTTGTGTATCTCTGGATGATGTGTGAGAGGGTAAATAGGAGTTTATAAACTGTTTTAGTTAGATATGTTATAAGTCAGTGTCTTTTTTCTGTTTACTTCTAGCTGCAGTCTAATTACTTGGATAAATAATATTGTTGCTCAATATAGAAACTTGGTCTGTGCTTTCTGTAGACTTGGTGCGAAAGTCAGGTAAATTGGGGTACTGTGCGTACCTTAAAAATAAACCTTTCACATTTGATATGACTCTAGGAAAAATGAGGATCGATTTATGGCATGCTACCCCAGTGGATTGTAACAATTTAAAAATGATTTGCAGTTAAGATTGAACAAGAAATTTAACTTGTTGTTTTGGCTCTTTATTTCACTGTGGTAAGTTCTTTGCTGACTAATTTGAGTCTTCTGTTTTTTCCACTTGGCTCTAAGTAGACACTGGATGTATAAAATTACCAGACCTTATAAACTAATGGGGCAAAAAGTACAGTTTAAGCTTTTCCATATGATTGAACACAAATATATTTATGTGAAGCTTTCTGCATTACAGTTTCATGGTGCTGTTAAATGACAGCACCTAGTTTGAGACCACCTCCTGCTTTGAATAATGCAGGACCATCAGTCTTGATGATGATGCATGGGCTGTTTCGCTCTCTTATGAAGTACCCATTCTCTGTGCATAATGAATGCTGGAGAAACATACACAGCTGTGTGCTTTTTGTCACAGTAACCCATTAAAAATGAAGCTTAGAAATTACCATGACATCCAGTATGCCACCTGGGAAATATTTGAAAATGTCTTTTGCACTTCTCTAGTTGTGTATTTTGTGTCTCTGAGGGTTTTGAGATGACCTCTTCAATGTGGCTGACATCACCATAAATAATACTGCAGCTGAGAGTATGTGTTAGTTTGTGCTGTTTTTTCTTGTGCCTTTTGCTGGAAATCAGCCAAACCAGCTTCAAAAGCTAAGGAACTTTAAGCTCAAGATATGTGTAGTTTAAATCAAGTTTCCAGTAACTTTAATGCTGGTTTAAAAACACACATTTAAAGGTACTTCGATCCCACTGAAACTAAATACACCTTGTGGTCAAAATAATGAGCATGGCGCATTTCCATTTGAAAGGGCCTTAACATTAATAATTCTTTTAGGTGCTTATTTTCAACAGTTTTTAAGAAACTGACTTATGCATCCTAATGAAACTGATAAATTGTTCAAAATGGTCAGTTAAAGTAAGTTTAAGTTTCAGTGATTACAAATGGGTTTAGTTGAGGAAAAACTGAAAGACCTATGGATGTTGTAAATCCAAAACAAAAATAGAAATTGCTCGAAAAGCTCAGCAGGTTTGGCAGCATCTGTAGAGAGAAATCAGAGTTAATGTTTTGGGTCAAATGACCCTTCCTCAGAACAGTTCTGAGGAAGGGTCATTCGACCTGAAATGTTAAGTCTGATCTCTCTCCACAGTTGCTGCCAGACCTGCTGAGCTTTTCCAGCAATTTTGGGTTTAGTTGAGTGTTGGATTTGAAGCTCATTAGTGATGCCTGTATTTTGTGATGAGCCTATTTTTATTTATATCAATAAAACACTATCAGATTACTGCTCTTAAAATATGTCTTGTTTTAAATCAAAGGGGAGAATAATTGTTTTCTATTGGACTCCTCAGTTGTGCTGGTTCGTGGATGTTTTAATGTTGTGCGTAATAGTTTGTGCAGAAACCTGAGCTGTAACTTCACTTTGAAAAACTAGCCCAATTTCAAGGTCCGAATTGGTTTGTATCGACACAATTTGTATCTTGTAGCCGACCTATTAAAGATCCCTCATCAGTGCAGGATACTAACAATTCTTCCTTGGATATTTATGAAGGAACAACTTGGATATTGGTGTTTAAAGTTACAAGTTGGTCAGTCCAGATCATTTTTAGTATATAACTTCAATAGAACTCTTGCTTAAATTCATTTTTCTTTTGATCTTTGTAGCCCCCAACAACGATCTTTGCCAAACATGAATGATACAGTGGTGTCCCACTCAGTTTTGTCCTCTGGAGCACCTACTCCAACTAAAAGGTATGTCAGAATTGCCTTTCAATAATTCTTTATACAATTACACAGTTTAGGAGCAGGGGAAGGCCCTTTGAGCCTGTTCCACCCTTCGTGGTTGATCTGATTATTCTGTGTAATCCTGATAATGATTCATGTCTTTGCTAATCTAGAATCTATCTACCTCTGCCTTATAAATATTCAAGGACTCTGCTTCATCCTCTTCTGAGGAATATTTCCAAGGTTCTGTTGGAAAAACGTTTCTCCTCATCTCTTATTTAAATGGACAGTCACTTGCTTGTAAGCAGTGATCCTTCATTCTACTTTCTCCCTCAAAAGGAACATCCTTTCCACATCTATCCTGTCAACGCCCTTAGTATCTTGTATGTTTCATGAAGTCTCCTCTTACTCTTCCATACTACAGCAGATACACACCTGGCCTGTCTGAAGACAACCTGTCCACTCCCAGCATTTGTCTAATAAACATTGTCTGAGCTGCTTCAATGTAATACATCACTCTTCACAGTACTCCAATGTGGTCTCACCAATGAACTATAAGCTGCCATGCAATAAAAATAACGTCGTTAGATTTTGTCATTAGTTGCCTTATCTGCGTACTAATCTTTTGCAATTCATGCCCTAGGACAGCCAGATCCCTCTGCTTCTCAGAGCTCTGCAGTCTCTTAGCTTTTAGATAATAGACTCCTTTTTTTATTCTTCCTGCCAAAGTGGAAAGTTCACATTTTCCTACATTATAAAATAAAACCAAAAGAACTATGGATGCTGTAAATCAGAAACAAAAACAGAAATTTGCTGGAAAAGCTCAGCAGGTCTGGCAGCACCTTGAGAGAATCAGAGTTAACATTTCAGATCCAGTGACCCTTGCTCAGTTTTGAAACATTAACTCTGATTTCTCTGCACAGATGCTGCCAGATCTGTTGAGTTTTTCCAGCAATTTCTGTTTTTTCCCACATTGTATTCCATTTGCCAGATGTTTTCCCACTCACTTAATCTATCTATCCCTTTGTTAGCCTCCTTACAACCTCTTCACAACCTACTTTCCTACCTGGCATCAGCAAACTTAGCTATCATACCTTTTGTCTCCTCATCCAAGTCATTTATATAAAATGTAAGAAGTTGAGGTTCCCACACTGATTCATTGGTCACATATTGCCAATCAGAAAAGGTTTCATTTATGCTGACTTTGTTTCCTTGTATCCAATCTGTTACCCCATACAAAATGAGCTTTTATTTTTCGCATTAACCTTTAGTGTGGCGCTCTATCAAATGTCTTTTGTAAATTCAAGTACAGTACATCCAGTGTTTCTTCTTTATGATGCATGCTACTTCCTTAAAGAACGACAATAAATTGGTCAAACATGATTTCCTTTTCACAAAACCATGCTAGTTCTGCCTGATTGCTGTGAATTTTTCAGTAGCCTGCTGTAATATAACCTCTTTATTAATAGATTTTAACATCCTCCCTCTGACAAACGTTAAACCAACTTGCCTATAGTTTCCTAATTTTTATTTCCATCTGATTCTGAGTAATAGTGTTATGGATGCGGGTACAATTACGATGTTTAAAAGGCATTTAGATAAGTACATGAATAAGAAATGTTTGGAGGGATATGGACTAAGAGTAAGCAGGTGGGACTAGTTTAGTTTGGGATTATGGTCAGAATGGACTGGTTGGACTGAAGGGTGTGTTTCTGTCTCTATCTGCAATATCACAATTTAATGAAAACTTCCCCAAATCTAGGAAATTTTGTAAAATTAAAACTAACGTAATTACTGCTTTGCTAGCGTCATTTAAAATCCACACCTCCAACAGTTTGCTTAATGAGTAATTGTAATCAAGTTCCTTTCCATTTCCTGATTTACAACTATTGCTGGGATGTTTCTTGAACCCTCTATAGTGAAGACAGATGTGCAATATTTGTTCAGTGCACCCTTTGTGTCTTTATTTACCATGTTAGTTCCCCTGGCTCACTTCCTATAGGCACATGTTTACTTTGTTAACTCCTTTTTAGGATATCTATAATATCTCTAAAAACTCTTAGTATCTGTTTTTATATTTCTAGCTAACATTTCCTTGTATGCTTATTTTTCCTTCCTTATTAATTTTTTAGTTGTTGTTCACATTTTTCATGTTCTCTCCACATCTTCTGACCTGCCACCCATCTTTGTGCGATTACACCTTTTAATTATTTGTATTTTCCTGTAAGCCTGGTACTTTCTTTAACTTTTTTTCTCATTGGAATGTACCTGTTTCGGTTCTATTTATGACAGTGTAAAAGCTGTACAGTTTTGTCAGGAAAAAGCAATTTGCCCATTATCAAAGGCTATTTGTCACAAGAAACACTGCCCTCTTTCCTTTATATCTAGGCACCAGCAAAACTCTGATTCCTTTTTGGATTAGTATTGAACTGGTCATGGGATCTTATAACCTCACACTTTTCTATTGCTAAAAAAAAATTCTGTTGATGATGTGGAGATCTGTTAACAGTAGACTTTTGTGTATAAGTGTCTTTTATTCAAAGGAGTATTTTTCAAATTCTGTGTGCTCTATATATTGTGCAGTAGCACCATGCTACATCTACAACTTTAAAGCAAATGTCTTTCTGGCTATGGATCATGCATTTGTGAGCTATATTGTTGGCAATAAACATACAACTTTGCAAGGTCCAAGTTAGTTGTATTGATTTTCTCATTTCTAGCCCAAGCTGGGGCTTTGAATGTAAAGTTGTTCCCTTCCTTTGCTTTGCTCTGAACTCAATAACTTAGAGAATCTTTGCAGTCGGAGTTAAATCATGGGTCCAGTACATTCTGAAGATGTTTTAAGTTTGAACAAATTTGTGACATTTTTGTTTCTCCACCATCTGAATGACATGTGCAAGGTGGTGCCTTTACATTTCTACCTTTCCTTCTGTAGAGGTTATGTAGTTCTGTACAGTTTCTTTTTTTCATTTTTCAATGGGATTGGGTGTGACCAGCTGTACCAACACTTGCTGTCCATCCTAATTACCCTGGGTTGTGAGCTGCCTTATGGAATCACTACAGTCCACGGGGAATAGGTGCCCCATCAGTGCTGTTAGGGAGTGAGTCCCAGACTTTGACCCAGTAGCAGGAATGAGTAGACAGTTCCAGGTGAGGATGGTGTGTGATTTGGGAGGGAACTTTCAGGTGGTGATGTTCCCATGCACTTCCTATTCTTGTGAGCTTGGAAGGTGCTGTTAAAGGAGCCTTGGTGAGTTGCTGCAGTACATGTTTCAGATGGTAGACTCTGTTGCCACTATGTGCCAGTGGTGAAGGCACTGAATGTTAAATGTGGCGCCAGTCACGTATAGCAGGACACTTCACCATATGATTACTATCTGGACGTTGTCAGCAGAATGTGTGTAATTTTTTCTCTGTAATATGGCTGTGTGCTTCTGTGGCAAGGATCCTGGATAAACAAACAATCATATTTTCCTCCAATAAACTGTGGGCCCTGACAATTAATCTTGTCAGAGATCTTTCATAGGTAACACAGTGTGGAGCTGGAGGAACACAGCAGGCCAGGCAGTATCAGAGGAACAGGAAAGTTGACCTTTCAGGTCGGGACCTTTCTTCTCTGAGAGATCTTTCAAAGTCTGTGTTGCAAATTATTTGAAAAGGTTTAATTTCTGAGCTACAAGTGAGTTACAGAAAAAGTTACAAGACAAAGGTTTGAAAGCTATGGGCCCTTTTAGTTTTTGCCAAAAATGAAGGCTGTGTCAGAAAATAGTGACAATAATGTTAACCCAGTGTTTTAAAGAATAAATGTTTCTGTTCTGTTCATGTTGTATTGATTGAAATCTATGTGTCGTCAGAAGTCTCCAGTTGTGTGGAACAAGGTTAGTTAAATACTGAATTTCCAGCCAGCTGAAGCTACCACTTCACGAATCAGAATCAGGAAATATCAAAAATAATAACTTTGTAGATATATTGCAAATATACAACAACATCAACTTGAGCTTTATTCCATGAGTATTTTTGAAGTATTTTAATTTGAAATGAAGGGCATCTTTTGTTTTACGAAAGCTCTTGACAAATGTCAGATGGCAGAGGACAGCTGGTCACACAAAAGGTTTCTACAAATTTACTTCTTAGGAGCTGCTTTAAGTTTGGCACAAATGGATTAAGGCAATAAGGACCTTAAATAAAATTAGTTGTGGAATTCCAGTTACAAACCTGCACATTTTATCGAGTAATTGACATTAAAACAGCAACTTTGGTGACAAATATGGCAAGTATTGAAAATTCTAAGATATGCAATTATTGATGAAATTCATATTGTTAGAACTTCGCATTCAACTTGTCCAAATTTCATAAACTGTTGCTTGATGCTGACACTAAAAGACAAATCTTAACTTAAAGCTGTAACATTCAGATAACATCTAAACTTCTATTTTGCCATTTTATTGACTACTTAACAGTATGATTAACAAATGCAGCTGGTTGTGTACAGTTTTTAAATAGTTAATCCCTCTGCTACAGTTATATCCAGATGAAGGCATGTTATCATTCATTGGCCTTGTCAGATACACATTTACTCAGATTCACTGTATCTGTGAAAGCATAATTCTCCATTCTACTACGTGCTATCAGTCAAAAATGGTTATCAGTTGTACACTCAAACACTCAGGGTTCAAAAAGCGTACTGCAAGATTTTGTCACAGTGAAGCATGTTCTGAGATAAAACACGATTTAAAACCATATTGCATAATATATAGGCTGCCGAACCTTCAAAAGAAGCTAATCTCCCCATGTATTGCTTTTCCTTGACATCTGGCTGGATGTTTTCTTCATAGGAAAGATTAGACTCCTTTCAATCCCTAACAGGAAAGAAAGGTAAATGATTCTTTCCTGCTATGCTAAATAACTGTTAAAATCATTTTGCAAACAAAAAAATCAATATTGTGTTACAGTGACTTCAGAGCAGAGTTAGAAAGATGAGAAAGCATGGAAGAAGAAAAGGCAAGTTGTCCAATCAAACTTAATTC